ACGGTAACAAAGAGAGATAACTATTGGTGTCTTAGAACACAGTAACAAAGGGAGGTAACTATTGGTGTATAAGAACACAGTAACAAAGGGAGGTAACTATTGGTGTCTTAGAACACAGTAACAACGGGAGGTAACTATTGGTGTCTTAGAACAAAGGGAGCTAACTATTGGTGTCTTAGAACCCAGTAACAAAGGGAGGTAACTGTTGGTGTCTAAGAACACAGTAGCAGAAGGAGGTAACTATCGGTGTCTTAGAATAAAGGTTGGTAACTATCGGTGTTTAAGAACACAGCAACAAAGGTCTTTATCTCTGGTACCGTATTCAGAGCCTAACCAGGCTGAGGGTAACACTCCTCACGCCCTTTACACAAGGAAAAGAATCTGGGCATTTCAAAACTGATGTTAGTACTGTTCCTAAATGAATACATCCAAAGAGAAAGTCGAAAAAAAGCGTATATGATATATGTACAGGAAATATGCGTTTATTTTGCTTTCGTGTTCAGTATCGGTTTCTCCTCTGTCTCAAAACTTTGGGAGAAACACGAGGCAGGCAGAAAGAAATAAGGCTGCGCCTGCATAAAAGGCACAGCGGTTTCATGTTATTCAAAAGTAAACAATTTTTTAAAAGTTCTGCTCGAAGAGATTCTTGACCAGATAAGCTGAAAGTACGAAGGTAAAAAAAGAAAGCTCTAAAACTGAAAAAAAAACCTCACGCAAACCATGAGCAGAGTGATGCCGTTGTTTATGCCGCGTCATCATGACGTAATAACCACCCATCTGGAGAAGCTAGTGACGTCACTCTAGCGAAAGCACTAAAGAGTAACGTCCTTAGAATTCCCCGCTGGTGAGCAGTGTGTGTTTAGGTTTGAGTATCATTTGCACAACGTAAAAGTCAATTGGATAAACATGTTTCTAAATGAGAAGGGCGGATTAGGTGTTCTTGATGGCGTGCATGATTATACAAAAAATAATAAATATGAAGAGAGTCTTGATGGCAGTCCTAGAGCCTCCTATCTAAATGATATACTCGAGGAGGGTGGCGTATTTGGTTTCATCTCCTCCGTAGTTGGAGTTCAGGGTGACCTTGACATCCTTGCCCCGATGCTTGCTCAAGGACGCTTGGCCCTCCCAGTTGTCTCCCTTCTTGGCCAGGTGGAACCACTCTCCAGCCGCCACCACGGCAACGGCCTTGGCATTGGGGACAAAGACCTTGAAGTCGACCTTGGCGAGACTGGTCTTAGCGTTGAGGACGATGGGGGAGTAGAGGTAGCAGCCGTCCTTCCATTGGGCGTACTGCTTGGGGAAGGGGTAGGCAGCCTTGAGGGCCTCCTGCACGTTAATCAAGTAGTTGAAGACGTTGGGCAGAGATTTGCTATCGTCGGTAGCCTCAAGGGCGAAGATCTGGAACTTGTAGAAGCCGCTCTCCGGGAAGGTGATGACGAAGCTGAGCACGCCGTCCTTTGTCTGTGTGAAGACGAACTCGGAGTGCTCCTTGTCGTCCTTCGCGCTGATCAGGTTGGTGGTCACCTGGGGGCACAGCGACAACTCTCGTGAGATAAGATAAGATAAGATGAGATAAGATGAGATGAGATGAGATCAGATCAGATCAGATCAGATTAGATCAGATAAGGCTGGATAAGATAACGTAAAGTAAGGTAAGGTAAGATAAGATAGGATAGTATAAGTTATGGTGAGATGAGATGAGATGAGATGAGATGAGATGAGATGAGATGAGATGAGATGAGATGAGATAAGATAAGATAAGATAAGATAAGATAAGATAAGATAAGATAAGATAAGTATTTATTTTCAAAAAATGGAGTCTCGTCACCTTTGGAGCTATCACGTGTACATTATACAGAAAAGTGTTTTAAATTAATTGGTTTTCCGCGTCTATCAACAAAGTTCAGAATATTGGAGGCATGGGCTTCCAACCCTGCCTGTCAGGCTGAGAGGGATAAAAAAAATAGCCCCAGTAAGAGGACCGAGATACTCGATTTAAATTTCTCAACTCTTGGGAATCAAACGTGGTTCTCCTGCGTGTGACAAAGAAGGGCCCAACGGCTGCACCATAGACACCAGTATATAGACTGCGCTTCTTGAATAAATTAAGGGGGTTTGCGTACCTCTCGTGGCCTAGAGGTACCGTGTTTGCCTCACATCCAATAGGTTCCGATTTCGAATCCTAGCAATGAAGACAGGATTTTCTTCGCCGACACATTCTCCTTTCATTCTCTAGCCATGTTCTGTCATCTGTTTTATTCTCCACTTTCTGCCCCTACCCCCCTACCCCCTCCCCTTTCGTTTTGTTCGTCTGGTCTCCTCTATCCTTTACTTCTAACTCTTTTTTACTGCTTTTCCTGGATTGTTCTTACAACTATCTTTCAGTCTCAACCTTAATCTCAGTGTAGGTAAGATCTAACACCTCGCCTTCTTGGATATGGGTGAACATACTCGGAGGTCCTGTATTCAAATTGCGTCGTTCTATGGCGCTCATATGACCTTATGCAGTTGCGAGCGCCGTAAAACTCTCTACTAAAACTAAAAAACTAAGCAACCCTAACACAGACCCCACATCCTCCTTTTACTTTACTATATCTCTGCCCCCCCCCCCCTTTCCCATTTCCAAAAACCCCATTCATACAGATACACACATGTACACATATACACACACAAATATTATACTCTCACACACACCACAAAGACTCACTCAATCTCACGCACAGACATGCACCTACACGCGCACTCACTCACATACACACACTCAGTATACATACATACAAACACACACACACACGCACACGCATACATACACGCACACAACATACATACATACACACCCACACATACATAGACACACACACAAATACACACACGCACACACATACATACATACATACATACATACATACATACATACATACATACATACATACATACATACATACATACATACATACATACATACATACATACACACGCACACACACACATACATACGTACATACACACACACACACACACGCACACACATACATATACGCACACACACATTCATACATACACACGCACACACA